AACGCATGGTCGCCCAGTCGGGGGGGGGGGGCATAGCGCTGCATTCACAATGATGCGTTTCGAAAATCCATTGTTACTCCGTAACTATTGAAAATCGACCACAAGTTTATAAGGAAATTTTGCAGGAAATAACCCCAGGAATATGTACCATAAGCCGGGGTAAAACTTCGTGAATCACCCTGTATATGGATTTTATGGAATACTTGTACAGTACAGTAATCGCGTATATCACTGGCTGAATTTAACTTCTCTTTTCGTGGGTCATTTATGACGCCATTATTAGTTACCATAGCTTCGGATTGTAGGATAAGAAGTCAATTAGGATATAGAAGGAAATGGGTATGGCTTTATACAGATTGCATCTAATTTAATCGGGTCATAGGGAAACAACGGAAAAACACAGAATAGCCTGTATACCGTCCGAGATTCGAAAGGAGTACCTCCGGAATGCGAGTCTATAACGTTACAGCTACGATAATCAGCTTGATAATTTAAGGTTTTTGTACAGTTATTATTAATATTATTATTGGAGGGGGTGGGTTTCCCCATGCACCGCGACCAGTGGTCTATTGTACGAGTATGTCCCCCTGTGATATTCTACCAGTCTATACCCTACCGATACTGGTGTGTGCCATCAGTCCCGACTCAGCTAGCGAGTTCGGCCTCTACTGGCTCAGCGGTATCTAGATGCTTCTCCCATCTATCTGAGACGTTAGAGACTATTGTTGGGCTGGAAACATCCTTGTAATTTGGTTCAGAGACCTCCTTGAGGCATGAGGTTCTTTTACGTGCCGTAAAGCTACGACACGGGACCCACGGCTTAAAGTCCCTCCCGGAGGACTTGTTCCCTCCGCCGGGTTTGAACCCGCGTACCTTGAGTCATGAGGTGGGAACGTTACCCCTAGACTACGGAGGCTGCTTTATGTACAGTTACTAGACTTCACATAAAACCACTGTCACCCATACAACTCCCGTATTTAACTCCAAGTAGCAATAAATTGACATCGAGGTCAGTACGTAGCTCAGTTGGTAGAGGGACGAGGCTATGTTCTTGACGACAAGGAGATTCAGGGATTGATGCCAGGAGAGGCGGACAGTTCTCTTTTCGCCACGGCGTCCTCATCGCATCTGCTGCCCATTGGTCTTCTGCCCGATGGGTACTGGTGGGTCCTTCCCTGGGGATGTGACAGGCGAGGCGTGCACCACTCACCCCCATCCGATGCCGAAGGCCGTATTTCTTCTCCCTCTATAATGTCATTCCTGTCTTGTGTTTAATTAACTAAACTCAGTGCACCGTTGCTTACTTTTACCGACGTGATAGGCAACAAGGGAAAGAAAGCGTTTGGAAAACACTTGAACTCAATGAAACTCAAGACTTTTAGGGCAATAAATAGTCGTATCATGTCTTTTGGATGTCTCCATCTTCAGGGTAGAAATTCAGCTTTTTTTCTATGGCGCTACAGCCCCAATTTGGGCCTAGGCCTACCTCCATGAAACTCTCCGTTTCACTTCGGTCTACTAGATCTTAAACATTCGGTAGGACTCCTTGGGCGAGTGATCAGCTCGTCGCAAGGCCTCTACCTGTAGACAAACACAGAAAAACGCACACAAACATCCATGCCCTGAGTGGGATTCGAACCCACGATCCCGGCTTCCGAGCGAGCGAAGACAGTGCATGCCTTAGACCAGCAATGCCCAACTGGCGGCCCGCGGGCCGTATCCGGCTCGCGACTTGATTTACTCCGGCCCCCTGCCAAGTCTCAGGTTTATTTTCAAAAATCTTAACTTCACAGCTGTATTGGCATAGAATTCAGTTTTTAATAGGACGTTTCATTAGCTGACAGCATTTTGCAATTGACTGTATACGTTCTTACCGAGTTGGACAGTTCAAACTGTTTTCTAATAACTGTGTTCATGTCATGGAAATTCCAAGTCCCCCAACCCTACTTCTGTAGAGAGATGACACTGAAGGGAAGACCGTAGTGGTGAAGGATTTATGACACCTTCAAAATAATAACCATTCCCAGCTTGTTAGCAGGGATGGGATGTTTGCCGTTTCTCTCGGTATTCTGGCTTTGTTAAGTGCCAGTTTTAGCAGAAATGTCTCCCAGTTAGTGCGATTTTAGAAATGGAAGTGTGATCACGGAGTGAATGTAGAACTGTTTTTCAATTAAAATTGTGTTTGAAGTTATTGTAAGTGATACAGCATGTCAAATAGTAAATTGAGGTAAGTTGATAGTGAAAATATGGCGTTCAAATCTGAGTGGGAACATGACTATTTTTTATATTAAATGAAGACCACGAGCCACAGTGTTTAGTATGTTTTCAAGTGCTAGCAATTTTAAAGGAGTACAACCTAAAGACTATTTACATGACAAATCATAAACAGAAGTTCAGAAAACACTCTTGTGAATCAAGGAAAGTAGTCTGCGATCAGTTAGAGAAAAAACTTTTCCAGCAAAAATCTCTTTTTACCAATGAAACAAAACAACAAGAAGAAGCTTTGCTGGCTTCTTATTTCGTGACATATGAACTAACGAAAGCTAAAAAAGCGTTAAGTGATGGTGAATTAATTAAGAACTGTGCGATGAAGATGGCAGAAGCTTTCAATGAAAATAAGGTAGGAAACAAATTTCAAACAGTGCCCCTTTCAAAACAGACTGTTACTAGGAGGCTGGAAGATATTAGCAACCAGATATCTAATAATGTGAAAGACATAATCGCTAATTGTTCCTATTTCCCAGTTGCTCTCGACGAAAGCATAGATGTTTCGGATACTAATCAGTTGCTGATATTTGTTCGTGCAATTAAGGAAGATTTTACAATTTTCGAAGAGTTGTTAAAAGTGTGCTCTTTACACAGCACAACTTGAGGTGTCGATATTTTTAACGCTGTTAAGAGTGCAGTGGAGGAATTCGGCCGTTTTGAAAAATTGTCCTCTGTAGTAACAGATGGCGCTAAATCAGTGACAGGGACAATAAGCGGTTTTGTTGGATTTTTAAGACAGAATCAAATTACTGTACCTACCTTGCATTGTATTATACATCAGGAGGCTCTATGTGCCAAATCAATTAAACTGTCTACCACCATGGCTACTGTCACAAAAATTACTAATTTGATCAGAGGAGGAAATCGATCACTCACTCACAGAAAATTTCTGACCCTCTTGGAAGAAATGGATTCTGCTTACGGGGACCTGCTTCTGCACACTGAAGTAAGATGGTTAAGCCGTGGGAAATGTCTGGTACGGTTCTTTGAACTCCGTCATGAAATAGCAACATTCCTAAGAGAAGAGGTTACGAATTCTGCTGAACTGCAGAATGATCTCGAAGACGTCGAATTCTTGAGAAACTTGGCCTTTCTCACCGATATCACTCAACACTTGAATGTCCTGAATCTGCAATTGCAAGGCAAGAAGCAGACAATATGTCAGATGGTTGGCTTTGTTGACAGTTTCCGTAAAAAGCTACATTTATTTAAGTCTGCATTGGACAAAAATAACCTTCTACATTTCCCTTGCTGTCGGAAACTCTCAGAAGAAGAAGAAGGCTTGGAGTTTAGGGACTACACTGAAATTATTGAAGATTTGTCTTCAGAGTTCGACCGACGATTTAACGATTTTGAAAGCTTTCGACCTGATATTTCTTTATTCAGTAATCCTATACATTGTGATATAGAATCTCAGCCAGGTCATCTGCAATTAGAGCTTTGTGAACTTCAATGTGACCCATCCT